GCGTGTATCTTTATTATACTTATTTTGATATTTTATCAATTTTGATATACCAAAGGAATAATAGAATGCTCCGATGTAAGCATTTTAAGTCCCACAGTGTGACTTGCGATCAGAATACGTTTGTTAGTCTACTTTCTTGTTAACTCTTGGCCAATGAACATCACTGCTTATACGCAAAAAAGACAGACTTGAGCTATAATGCCTTTTTTGTCCCATTTTTAATATCCAAACTTTTTTCATTATTCATTATATACTCATCCAAGATAGTCTTGGGAATTCTCTGACTTTCTCATTAATCGTAACGAAAATGAATAAAATTTTACGTTATTATGCTTACCGCTCAAGTATTGTCATTCTAGCTTAATTAAGTCTGTTATACGAATTTTCAAACTCAGGATTAGAAAACTGCAAATTTTGCACTTGTATTTTTAATTCAGTTTAGTACGAGCAGTTTGCGTATCAGTTCGATGCGAAAGCAATTCACGATTAAAAATTGATTAGACACTAGACCCTTAATCGGAGATATTGCGAAAAATACGTCTACCTACCAGGTCTAAAATGTTAATATAGATATTTTAAGGATAAGAAGACTACCCAGAAATGTTAATATAGAGGACTACTCTTACAAAAGTTACAGCATTTAAGTAAGGCATTAATAGCGGAACAGATATATTAGAGACATCGCCCGAGATGGTAATCCGATTGAACGGTGTCTCTTGCTTGAATTCATAACATCAAACTTGAAAAGTTATTTATTATCGCATTCTTACTACAATTCCACAAAAACCCATGGCATACAAGGACAGTCTGCACTGAACTAAACGGCCCAATTGTGTTGCGTAGAAATGCATGGAATATTCGCTTATTATGACAAATCTGTCGCATTCATATTTGTCTTAGATTCGGATTTCAGTTCTGAACATATATTTTCAGCTTTTAAGATTGTTCTCTCGTTTTTGTATTGCATAATAGCTGATGGTAATAAGTCCACACGATGGTGACATCGATAAATCCGCAGTTGGGAAATGCACGTTGTCGTTAAATGAGGAACAAAAATAATATCTCGCAAACCTCAGAACAGTGCTCATCCATCTAACAAACGAACCTAAGCCGAAAATTAAATTCTAATATGACAGAAATAGTTATTAGCGAGCTCTTTTTTGTGATAACGTCTTGCCTGAAGACAAAACGGTGTAATAATATTTACAATTTACGAACGCTTGGAAGCGGTACACATGTCGCTGTCGACAAAAACACAATTATCGCAAATCGCTGTCCTCCATATGAATTTGCTATACTGAGGAAAACATCAAAAAAAAAGGCCTGGCGGCGACAACGTCTGAAAGTCAGTTTAAACTATCATGGGGAACTATCTGTTTTCAAGTGCGGCAGAAACCACAACCGAAATTATGTAATAACAAAAAAAAATAAAATTTTGCATAATTTTTAAAGTTGTTTCTATTCTTTTTTATGACTTTTGCTTTTTTTTTTTAATTTTATTTAATTTTCTCTTTTTAAAAATATTTTTTAAAAATTTTTGTTTTTTTTTTTTTGATAAATATATTTTTGTACTTTTTAATTTTTTTTTTTTGTATTTTTTTTTTTTTTTTTTTTTTTTTATTATTTAAAATAAAAATTATTAATGATAAATATATAAAGGTATATATATATATATATATAAAGGCACATATGCATAAGTACATACATGTGTATGTAAAAAACCAAATAGAAAATCCAGAGTTAAAAGTAATGGAGAAAAAAAAAAAAAATTGAAAAAAAATTATGATGGGATAAACAGAAATACAAGGAATGAATTAAATGGCAATGACGCTGGAGAGTGACTTTGAAGAACGAGGAGACGTTTCAAATGTTTTTACATGTTTTAAAGCTAAGTAGGAAAAACAAGTTTGTGTTATAGACAAAAACTTACAAGTAATGGTGGTGGTCGAAGTTGCGCAAGTTCCTGTGGTCAGCAATTCCTCAACGTCATCTTCATCTGTGAGGTTTATGGCATAATTATTGCTGGTTGTTGTTGCTGTTGTTGTTTGATTAGCCATATTATTAAAAGCTTTATTGTTGTTCAACTTTTGTTGCGCCCCATGATGCTGCAGCTGATGATGATGCGGATGGGGACGGCTATGATGGTGATGATTGCTGCTATAATTTGCGTTCGTTAAGCGACGATGATGGTTACGTGCGAAAAGAGATGAATTTGAATTTTTATATAAAGACATTGGGGCAGAGCCAACAGCAGTTGCTCCTGTACTGCTAGATAGAGCGTTGCCAGAAACTGCATTGCCAGAGGAGGAGGAGGAAGATGTTGAATTAAGACGTTGACTGAAAATGCTGTTGGAATTTGCGGCAGCGGCAGCGTTATTATTTTTACGAAATTTCTGTATATTATGATGGGCAACGTGGGAATGGGAAGGATGGGGGGAATGTGTGGAATGGGTGGTTGGCGGTACTGGTGGAGGATATAAATGATTTGAATTCGTGACAGTTGTGGCTGACGGCGGTCACGAACAAGCCACTTCAGTGGCTGGCTGACAATTGCCCACGTTACTATTACTATTACTGTTGCTATTATCTGATATATCTTCCGGATTTAAATTGTTCTGTTGTTGCTGTTGTTGTTGTTGCTGTTGTTTAGTAATTGTTGTTGTTGTTGTTGTTGATGTCGTTGTCATCGTCGTCGTTGTTGTTGTTGTTGTTATCGTGGTTGAAATTGTGTTAATAGTCGCCTCGCTGGAGTTGTTCGAGTTTTCCTCGTTTTGCTTTAAAGATCGTAAATCTTCATTGAAAAGATGATTCAATATCTTTTGTAAGTACCTACCGTTTCACTAACACGACTACGCTTTTGATGATGTTGAAGCATACCACCACCACCACCACCACCGCCACCACCATTATTACCGCCCAGCCCCGCCCCGTCCTTTTGTGATATCTGTTGATTCATTTCGCTGGATAAACGCTTCCGGTTGGCTAAAATGGCATTATTAAAATTATTATGATTTTCCATAGATTTACGTTCACGTTTCAAAAAATCTCCGTCCAAATACTGGGACAATTGTTTACGTTTCACATGACGCGCCTCTATCGACATACCCTCCTTTAACATTTTGATGTTAACCTAACGGGAATGGTAAGTATTTTGAAATAAATTTTTTACAATTCACGGAAATTACTCAACTCTCACCCCATGTTGTATAACATGCTCTGTAAAATTCTGTATACTTTCAGTTAGATCCACATTCAAATTTTCAGTACGTTCAAATTCTAAGCCAATAAACCACATCGAACAGAAAGGTGAGCAAGACACCGAAGACTGCTGCTGTGCGGGGGCTGAAATTTTCTCCTCGTCGTTAGTACTGCTATTGCTGCTGTTATTGTTATTGTTGCTGTTGTTGTTGTTACTGCTGCTATTGTTGTTGTTGCTGTTGCTGCTGCTGTTGTTATTATTATTATTAGTACCGATTGTATTGACAGTGAGTGTACTGCTACTACTATTATTGTTATTACTGCCTTTTTTATACTCGAAACATTTGGGGTTAACATGAGCCAACGAAATGTGTTGATTACGTTCTAAATTACCGATAAGTAAGCGTACTTTCGATTCAACTAAGCCACACCATTCCAGATGGTCGTCAGCCGTCTGCGAGTTAACCAGCAAAACAATAAAATGACGATATCTACATAGTATTATTGCAAGAAAAATTATTTCAATTTTTTTTTCTATTTAAAATTTTTCATCTTCACTTACTTATAAAAAAAACTGGGCGCTTCAAATAATTTATCCCAGGTGGCTCGGCCTAACATAATTTCATCGGTGGTAGCCATGCCTCGATTGAATTCAGCTAATATTACCTTCTTGGTGGACTCGGAAACATTAAAAGTGGAATTTTGCTGAGGATACGCTGGCGTTATTATCGGCATTAAATGATAACGATCTGAGGCATTAACACGCGGATCCCAAACCTTAAATGAAAAGTTTTTCTTAATAAGCTCTTCTTGTTTTTTTTTTTAAGCTAAAAATATACCAAAACTTACCGGGAATCGTAAATTAACATTATCTGGATGTTTAAGTAACACAGGATGCGGCCATTTCCAGCGCGAAAAAACTAAAAAGAATTTGTGCACCAAAGTTGAAGCTGTTGCATTTGGGTACAGTTGACACGTACGCGCCACCAACATAGCCCATGTGACACCCCCAAAATAACCCAACGAATTGGAATAAATGCCATGTTCTATAGAAAAAGAGCAAAATATGAAAGGTATATGAGAGAATGTTTGTGGCGCACCGGTCGCTTTAAACTTACTTTTCGCCCATAGTTTTATAGAACGTAAAGCTAAGCGAAAATTTTCGATATTCGGTACTAATGATAATATTTCATCGGTTACCCGGCAACCGTTCAAACTGCGCACTGATCTTGGATCGAGATTTTTTAATAAATTATCATCACGCAAATCGAAGTCATCAGGTATCTCTTTGAGTGATAGGCGGGCAAACAATAGATCAATTTCAATGCCATCGAAATTCATTTTGATTACCGGTACGAAGGCCTCTTCCACGGCTCGGCATTCCGTTACTTCGGACTGTTTCTTTAAAAGCTCAAAAAACGATGAAAAATAATCGCTACGTTCAATGTTACGAGGCGCCACGCAAAGAGCATCAATATCAGCCCCTTTATGATGAACGCCCAAACGATATGAGCCGAATGTATAAATTTTGCCGCCCAATTTCTCTGCAGCCGCTTCGGGCATATTTTTGGCTATGGATACATCTTTGACCCATTGCTTAACAAGAGTATTTAATTTGGCTAGTATTTCCATGCGATGATTCAGTTCCTCCTCACTTTCGAATACCTTATACGGTTCCAAAGCCTTGCGTAATTCTTCCGTTTTTTGTAAATCTTCAGGTTTTGGACCCGCTAAACTAATAGCTGACGTCATCCCTAACTGTTTGACTTGTTGCTGCTGCTGTTGGTTATTTTGTGAATGTGAATTTCGTGCCCCATTGCCACCACCAGCACTATTCGCTGTATGACCATTCTGTTGACGTATTTCCGAGCTCCACATATTCATTCGATTGCCTTATTATGAATATCTATTACTTTGGCGGCAGCAATCGTTCTTTTCCCCTTTACGAACTTTATACTCCGGGTTACTTTAAACGTTTTACTCCCTTTTCCTCTGTTATTAATTTACTCGTTACGTCTTGAAAGTACTTAAAGCGTTTCTTCTTTAAAAAAAAAAAAAATTGAACGCTATTATTTAAACATGTAAACTAATCCGAGATTTGAAAATCTGTTAGGTTAAATACGTTGACTTTTAAATGCTAGACTGAAAGAAAAATAATATAAATAATGATATTAGTAATTAAGGAAGAAATGAAATGCCGAAATTTTGCATATATATTAAAATAGTAGGAAGAAGAAAGGAGCCTGAAGGTCCGTTCACTTCTGGGATTTTCCGGTATAGAATTTTCAGCAATATATATATATTTATATATATATATATATGTACTGCATTCTATATACCCAATATTGAAAAAAACTATAGCGAGTAATGTCGGAATATTAGCGACCCTTGGACTGCCTAGAGGACTTTTTGCAAGAATTTCTCCTTGCGATAGAACGAGAATTTTCGGCTATATGTATGTATGTATGTATGTGTATATGTATTTAATGTATATAATGAATTAGATATATAAAAATTCTCGTTATCTTCAAAGATCGGTAACTTGGCGGCAGTGCTCGCTATAGTGTATCGAAAAACTTATCTCCAAAAACTACAGGAAAACCTTTTGAAACAATCACTGACAGATAATGCGTAATGTTTTTACGCCGCCCATCTTTAATTTGAACCACAAACCCGTTCCGCTAAATATCCCGCAATGTTGTTATTTCATAATTTAAAGAAAGTTTTAAAAGGGACCGCTTTGAGAAATGCGGCTTTCTTTACAATTAAAAAGGGAAGTTTTAGTATTGCGTACATCTTTCCCTCTTTCTCTCCCGCATTCAATAGATCGCAGAAATCGGAACGACAACAATCTGAATATCATTATAGTGGTTAAACCTATATAGTCATTCGCCGACGTCTTTTTCTCTATTTCCAAGTTGAAGCTATAAACACTAGCTGCAATCCACTTAAGATGGCCGAGATATATGCTCACAAAAAAGGAATAGACAACGACACAGAGCTCCAAAAACTTACAGAAAATTCCTTTTATACCGCTTTGCAAGTGTTCAAGAACAGGCTTCAAAATGAGACTTCGCGCTTCTTCTCGAGTCGTTGTGTTTGTAGAATTTGTAATGCGCCACAAACTTAAATATAAAAACTAATATTCTGGTGTACTATCCAGGATCACTGGGCGAACCGCACAAAATAATATTCGACCCGAATAACTGACTCTTCACGGTGAACAATTAATTTTATAATATTTTAAATGCACACAATTTCTTGGAACTTGGCAGATGCGCACAATTCGTTTACACAACTATTAATTTTACACTTATGGTGAAGCTATTTATACTGAAACAAAACAGAAACCTATGACCAGATTCGAGTTTAGGGAAACTATTAAAATTATACTATCCGCACATTTTCGGGTAAATAATACCAAAAACTTGAATATATTTATATTGAAGCGCATTTTTTCCCTTATTCAGGTAAAATATATAAATTTGACTACCTGTAAGCTGCTTATCAGGTGGCTGCGGTTTTCATTGTCGATATTTGTTTCTTTGTCTCTAAAATAGATTACCTATCCCTTTGTTAAGAATCATTGTTTTGCGGCTCTAACTCTAAGCCGCGCTTACCTGTAAAGTAGGGATTACATGCTGTCGTAATTTCAGGGAAAAACCTTTCCTATGCTATAGCACTTGTGTTAAATTATTATATTATGCTTGTGCGGCTACATACAACACATAGATGGACTTGATATAGATCCTGGTTCTATTAGACTTGTATGCCCACCAGTCTGTCCGTCCGTCTCGCTTTTATGTGCTCAGTCTACACAAGCAAGTTTTGAGGTATTTTGATATTTTAAAAATTGTTCCCCCGACTTGTTTGGAACGTTCTTGAAAATGATTTGAATCAGAGCGCCTTTCCGACCACTTTCCATACAAAGCATCATTTTGAAAAGTTATTATATAAATGAATGTATTTATTATATGAAGAACGGCGTGCAGCGTGGTGAGGCTAGACTGCTGTACTATCTTTCCCAAGCAACCGCAAGTTCGATTTGCGTTGCCCACGCGATTAAAAATGTCGAAGGAAGGATTCCAATACAATTATGCCATATCTGAAAAATTGTCTTTCTGCCAATGGAGAAAACTGGTTAACGGCTATAGAGAAAGGTCATAATGTGCACACAACTACACGTATATGAGTTTAAAGTATTTCGAATATTTTTAAGGCTCCAACACTACGAAATGCCACAAAGCCGTCTAGCAAAACAACGAACGCGCTACAATTTTTTGTTTACGAAAATTCTTCAAAACACCTAAATTGGATGTAGATTAACGAGACTTTTCACTTTCTTAATTCTTACGGCATTGAACGTTACCCCTCGAATGCCCGCACCGACAATGTAGAAATGTTTAAATATTTGCAATGGTAAACCTATAGATAGCGCTATAGACAGAAACGATTTAACGACACTGACAACGAATCGGATAAATGATATTCTTTGATACGTAAATAAGCCGATTATTTATTGTAGGCTAAGGCGGTTCAATATGAAATTATGTGCGTTCCGCAAAATGTGTCATCTTGAACTCTACATCAAAAGTTCGGTCCAAGGCATTCAAGTGTCATTGATCTCACTGTCTTTCCGTGATAATTAATTTAGCCAACTCATCTTCACCACATCTACGGGAAGCCATTTAATGTTACTTATAAATTTTCCATTCGTTTTTCTCATGCACTCAAAAAAAAAAGAACGTGAAAAGTAAATGATGAAAATGCTAGGCATCTACTCATTAAACAAAAACAAAAAACTGCTGATTTGCACAAAGCATAAATTTATGCAAAAAAAAAAAAAAAAAGAAAGAAAAGAAAACAGGGCTAACAGAGAATTAATCGTGAGATAACAATTTGTATTAGAAACTAAACAAAAGCTATAAGAGCCACAACATATTAAAAGAATTTGTTAAAATTACTGAAAATATTGCCGTCAATCGAAAAATGTTTCTGCATATTCACGATGAGAAAGCGGAAGTATCTTGAAATATTTTATTTATAACTAATTTATTTTATTTTATGTGTTCCATACGGAACGCCATACACTCGCACATTTAAATAACCGCACTTCCGAAACAGATTGAAGTATATCTTTAAAAGCATCGCGCCTGCCTGTTGTTTGCTTTCATCCCTTAAACCATCCAAAAATAAAAAAGTATAACATCGGCCCCAAAATAGTTTATCAATATTCACGCACGCAAGCAAGCAAGCATACACATAAACACATACACACACACCCGCGCGTTTAGCTTTTTATTTTGATTTTCATTCACGGTAAATAACGCTTACCTTTTTTTTTTTTTTTGCTGTTATAAACAATGGTGGCAAGTTGTCTGGATTAATAAAACAACAACAACAACATCAAGAAGAGTAAAAACTAAAATAAGGTCTATTTTAATAATGCTGTTTGGACGCTGTTGTCGTCGTTGTCATGGCCTCCAACAATTACCAACAAGAAACCACAAAACATTACTGGCGAAAATTCCACGCATTAATTTCCTTCTTTTTTATTCTTGTCTTTCGATTCTTCTTTTTCGGAAAACAGACACTTTTTTCACTTCTCTTTCTCTTCTTTTTCCGTATGGCTACTACCACTTATTTTTCTTTTTAAATTCTTATTCTTTTTATTCTTCTTCTGATTCTTCTTAATCGAAAAGAATTTTTTAACAACTTTTTTATGCGAATCCTTTAAATATAACACAGAATTTTTATGCTTAACAAAATGTTGTTGTTTCAAATTTTAGGTTAACGTAAATTCTTGTTAAAATTTCGCGTATAATTATTACAATTTATTAAATTAAAAACGCGTAATTTGACAAGAAAACGCTTACTTTGTTCACGGAGATGAGTAAAAAAGCAAGGCAAAATGGCATTGCCATGTGTTAGCAAAGAAAATTTTAGACAATCTATAATGGTAAAAAAGGAAATGAAAGACGGCTTATAAAGATTAGGTATTGCCGTAATAAAATAAATGTACGATAACATAGGGCGTACAGAAAAACATATATCCCAGAAGTGCTCGCATCACTTTTAAAGTTGTGTACTACATAAAACATTCATAACTGAAGCTGAAATTAAAATTTCAAGAGAATAGATCAACTAGATTTTATATTAACGTTTTATTGCTCTTGGTTATATTATTTATATTGGCCTTTGCTGCCGGAATTATTACTGTCATACTTTTCACATTATATTTGGGTTATTGATGCAATATGGGTGCAATGCAAAGAAGCTTCCCAGGTCTTTTATTTATTTTGCCTACTAATATTAAAATCTATTTAGATTCTGTTAACTAAAGTTAGTATTGCCATAACTCAGATTTCATAATACAATTAATACACTTAGCATACAACGCTGTAATGGTTAGTATTTGTTGATTGCATTTTTAGAGTTCTTTATTTATTAATATAAAAATACGATACTTTTCCAAAAATTAAATCATATCATGGATTCGATTCTATTAAATGGCCAATCCAGGCTAGACATTCTTATTTTCCTTAGGTCAAAGTATATATTTGAAAGCAAATGTTAAATGTAAGATTTAGCTATGGATATGGAAGAGTACAATTAAAGAGTACATTGAAAAATGATGCTATGGATGAGAGAAAAATTTGCTGAGCGTCGCGCTAAATGGTTAGCTGCCCGTAAAAAATCTCATCCATCTGAAGATGGGGAAGAGACGGCTACCGAAACTAGCTCTAGCAGTAGTTCTCCGAGACGGAATATAGACCAGTCAAAATCATGTATAATACCTTGTGCTTCAGTTCCGCCTAGCGACATTAGCCAGCACCATATCAATTCTACATCATGTAATCCTGCTAACACGGCAACTATAAACTCATCTACGCGGTTACCGGTTTTGTGAGTAAACCTAGATATAAAAGTCAATCATAAGAAATATAAGAACATACCTTTTCGGTAAACAATAACATACTCAAAATTTTCTGTCAAAATGCAAAAATTAAGGAATCTCTTTGCTAAGTCTGTTACTGTCTCATACTATTGTTGGTTTTTTTTTTAGTAGAAACTCACAGCATATTTTGTTCATTTTTTATAGAAAAAACGCCCGTCGATCGTCAGCATCTTCAAATTTGGACGCTGCAGTAAGTTCCGAAGAAATTGTCCGAGGTCCTGCCGTTAAAGAACCCATTAAAGTACGCATTATCTGTCCTTCAGCGCGAGTATTGGCTTTTCAAACGGAAACTACAAAACGTTTAATGGATTTAAAAAATGAAGTCATCCTAGAATTGGCCGATGATTTAGCTTCAATACCTTTATTTGCACCCGATGTACGTACGTTAGGACCACGCTTTCGCTTAGTAAAAGCCGATTATCAAGGTGTTGAGCTAAGCGAACAACAAACTTTGAGTCAACTTAACATTACCAACAATGAACTGTTGGTATTGGTTTTTAAGCATAATAATTTACAACAAATCATAACGCAAACCCGAGAAACACGCTCTGCACCTGATGTCGAAATTGAAGCGGCCACACGCTCAGTGCCTGCTAGGCAAGGCGACTTACCTATGGTTGATTTAAATGAGATATTTCAACAATCAAATGTATGCAAAAGCCGTTAGCTTCTTTCTTTTTTTTTTTTGTTATTAAGTTTCAATATCTTTTCTTCAGTTACAATTCGATGTACGCAAAGTATTAATTTCTTTGGCTCAAGCGTCCGCCGCAATTATTGGAAGTGGTCCATACGCCAATCGTTTGATAGCCATGCTTAAACAAAAATTAATTAATAAACGTAACTATCAAAATGATACTCTACAGTGCCTTGTGGACATGGGTTTTAAAAAGGAACGAGCCGAATACGCTTTAAAGATTCACAAGTAAGAATATTTTCATTTCAATCATTAGACATTTTTGATTATTCAATGGAAAGTCTAATAACTTATCTAAGTCGCCGTGTCTCCGTGTGGATAATATGCTTTGGTTGTATTAAAGCAGTGTTTGATACCGTTATAGAGTTGAAAGCTTTCACTTTTTTCGATTATTTATTGTTATCTAGTTTTGATGATTTATTATGTCTTCTTTGTTTTGTGATATTAAAAGAAAAGAAAATATAAAAAAATAAGAAATATCAAGAACTTTGGCCTATGTGAAATAAAGAATTTATCTATTTTTTATTAGCAATGTTTATTCCACGGCTTTGGAATGGTTGATACAGCGTCAAAGTGAGGATTCAAAGGTAGAAGATGCAGTTATGGGTTTACCGAAAAGTACTTCAATCTGTTCACCTTCGACCATAATATCAAATGATGTAAATTTTCTTAATTTAATTAATTAAAAATTTAATTATTTAATATTTGATTATTGTATTTGCATAAAAAAGAGTCCTGTGGAAAATGTAGCGGCCTTATTAGAAATTGTCAGAATATATAGCCATCGCGAAATACCACCTACTGCAGATTCTATACAAAATCTGGTAGAGATGGGTTTCCATGAACCAGATGTAATATTAGCTTTGAAAAAGACCTGCAATAATAAAGCGGCTGCCTGCGAGTGGTTATGCGGTAATCGAACTGGCAGTTTGGTAGAGTTACGAGAAGGCTTATCAGAAGATTCCCCCGTCTTAAAATCAATTCTAGAATTGCCACAAGTTCAATTGTCATTGGGTAACCCCAAAGTGTTCCTCGGTATGTAAGCTATAATTTAAAAAATTTCAATCAATAATATTTATTATTATAATGTTTCAATTAATTAGCCTTTCTAGCAATATTGGAAAATGAACACAGTTTACGTGTTTGGGGTGGCAATGATACCAGTTCCGTTATCACTCAAATCTTGCAGAAATATCATGAAGAGAAACATGTTATGGGTATAAATCAATTTTATAGCAGCCGATAGTATATAAAAGATTATAAATAATTTCGAATATATAAAATGTTTCCTTTATTCTTATTTTCTTCTTTTTTTTTTTTATCTCAAAACTAAAGTTTCTAATTAAATTAATTTTCTCTTAAAATAAGAAATTTTTATTTTATATAAAAACAAAACAATAGTTACAATATTCTTACTTCAAATGCAAATAATTCTGTATTATTTACTTTTTATACGCACAAGAGAGCTTCATTCTGGTGATAATTTTAATTCCGTTTTTATTTCGCTTAAATGCTGCTCTGTCGCTAAATGAAGAAAGGGAAAAGTGCAATTTAAAAAAAAATAAAAATAAAAATAAATAAATAAAAAAAGCAACAACAACAAAAAACAACATATATTTACCTATAAGTGAAAATGAAGCAACTTTTTACTGTATTATTAATAAAATACCTATACTTACATATAAAACATACACACATACATATGTAGAAGTACCTAATTTAAATGAAAAAAGCAACTGTAAGGCAGTTTTTAGGAGTCAATATATTAAGACATATTTTCAAAAATAGCTTGACTTCTAAGCTCTTAAAGCAATTATGTAGAAATCGTAAGTCTTTTTAATAATTATTAATAATTAGGTGTTTTAAGTAAAATCACATTGTTTTGTTGTAGCTTTTATAAAAAGTAATAATTAAGTAATTAATTAAAATATGCGTAAAATGTCTCTTACGTACTTCATACATATATATATATATATATATAAAATATGTCCAATTAAATTTTATATCAACACAAATGCCAAATACAGACGTCAACTATAACTTAGTCCACTTACTACTATTATTTCTAATGTAAAAAATCTACTCACAATTGTCGATCTTAAGAGGAAAATTTAATTTCAATTAAAATGTATTTGAAAACACTTGAAAAATAAATTAAATTAATTTACACTGAAAATGCATTTAATGGGCTCGCAGTAGATAAGAACTTTACCAGTTCAGCGCTAAAGGCAAATCGAAACGTAAGATTATTTCAACTCCATAGTTTTTTTTGATACTTGTCGTGGCACTATTTTGGGCTATTGGGCTATTTTACACACACATTGATATTAGCTTGTTGGAAGTATTTGAATCACTATATTTAGAAACGTGTTCGTGGCAATAGAATGGGTGGAACCAGTTTGAAGTATACACTAACAGAGAGAATCATTTGGCGGTTAACAAAGAGCCTATCTTGTTTTTTAACGAGTTGTCCGTCTTTTCTGAATTATTATTTATACAAACAAATCCAAACAATTGAGATTGGTTGATTTTTATAAATTTTGGGATTAATATATAATATTTGTAATACATGGATGAAACAGATGTCTCATAGACGACAGATTACTTGGAGTTAATGTTTGAGAATTTTTTTTAAGAGACTCTTGGACGTACTGTGTACTCAAGCATTAAATTTTTTCATTATCAGCTTTGCATTTTGTGACAAATCAGAGCCCCCCCCTCCCCCCCCGCCGTGGTCCGCGCGGGGTGAATTTTTTTTTATACCCTCTACTGTAAGATGCGGATATACTAATTTTGTTTTTTTCATTATATATATGTAATATCTACCGAGACCCGATAAAATATATATATTTTTGATCAGCATGAAATTCTGAGTTGATTTAGTCATGTACCTGTCTGTTTGTGTGTTTTTTGTTTGCGGGACTCTCCTGGTCGCAAAAATGAATTCGAATTTGGTAGAAACCTTTTTTTCGTTTTTGCACGAATCTTGGTTTTGAAAATGGGCCAAATTTCGTCGGAGCGGAAGCCCGCATTGGAGTCTAACCTGAACGCATTTGTGGAGTTTTGCTAGTTACTTAGAAATTATAAAAGCTAGAAGGCTGAAATTTTTCACATTGACTTTACAAAGCACTCTACCCTTTAGGTGCAAATCGGCCACGCCCATACAAAATTACAAGTGATTAAATTTTATTTTTCCACTTTTTTGAGGCTTCATGCTTGTTTACTTGAATGTTTAAAACTATTTTGTACATTCCTCAAATGAAGATATATTATCCGCCTAAAAATGGGTTGATCCTAAAATGAATATTGTAGGACCGCGACCAAAAGCAGTAATTCTTTTCTTAATGATACCAGCGATATGGACATCAAATAAAAAACTTGCAGACAAGAATGCGAAAAGCATAGTGATGCGAACCCGAGATTCAGCCCCCGTCGAATATAACTCTCTTACTTGTTTTTATTGCGAATATTATATACCTTGGGCGTCGCAGTAGACTTTTGTGCTTTTGGCCGCTTTTGGCTTCTTCCGCCGGTCGCTGAAGTGTAATGATGAAGCAGTGTTCTCGCCCATCAGAAAAAAACGTTTAATCAACAAACGAAATTCGGATTTTTCCATTGCTTTAAAAGGTACTATAATGTCGTGTCAAGAAGGTACTATCCAGAAATCATATGAGTTTGTCAACAGTGTTACCATACATGTGACCGAAGGCTTATTGAACGGCATGATTCAGAATTGAGACTATTGAGTGATGACTACTGAGAGTTACTCCCGATTTAGGGGAGCTAGAGCGTCTAGCATCATCCCTGTTTATATAGCCGCGTCTCGACAATTTCACCGTCTCGATGGGTTGGAGCCCAAACAACACCCGCCAGGATATTTTTTTCCTTTATTTTTTTTCTTGAAAGGTATTCTCTGCATTGAAAGCCAATCAATGCTTTATCTATACATGAGAATCAAATGTTTCTTTATTTTATTTAGGGTTATGTGTGCAGATAGGTGAAACTCATTTTCCTTTACCGTTAATTGAAAGTGTAAAGAAAGTGCTCTTCACTTCAATCGTGGGTGTTCTAGCGGAAAGACAATCACTGTCCAAGATTAATGGTAAATATATTTTTTCGGTTTTGTGATTTTACTGGCGCGTGTTACAGGCCTGCGCTTCTATGTTTTTTTTTTGACTCTTTTCGAGTTTGGTTTTCTAACACTTTTTCCGATATTCCCTATAAATCAGTTATAGCGAATTATAGATAAGAAACACAAGTTTGATTATATATATTTAAAGAGTTTTTTTTTTAAACGTTTTTTTTTTCGGTTTAATTTTATTCGAAGTCTGTGGTTTTTCGTAAAGCGCTGTCAGTATGTATGAAAGCGTGCAGCGAGAGTATCTGGAAATAATTAAACAGTTTTTTTTTTCATTTTTTTTATATATATAAATATGTACTTCAAACTTGCTGCTATCTTGCTTTGCCATTCACGTCTACGCCATAGGCCATCTTCGAAAGATTCATCGCTTGCGGCGATAATATTACCGCAAAAAATTGACTAGAAAACGATTCGGCAAAGGTTACTCAATCAGTTCCGTATCTTTATTGCCGCATGGAGTGGATGATTCGATGCCAATTCATCAGACTTACTTCGAGATTTCGGACTAAGCGATGGTAGAAAGAGATCAACAAATGAAGCTATTAAACGTAACAGCAATAAACCTATGCGTAAAATTTCAACCTAAATGCACAGGATCCCGACGTGTTAAATTCCAAAGGCTTGCTTACTGCTTTAACTTTATTTGCTGACAATGTTAAAATCGGAGAAGGCATGAATTGGCAGTAAACGTTAATGCCTTTATCAACGATAGTTTCCCAATTGACATGGCCGGTATTGCTGTATATAAACCGGGTAAAGGTTGCTCAAAGAGACAGTGGAGCTAATAAGGACATTAAATAAAAATTAAATAAAAAGAAGTAAAATGGAAAATTTAAATAGAAACGAACACAACGAAACTACAGAAATAAGTGCAAATAGCTTTCTGTTCTTAGCTTTCTCTATAAAATTTTGTATTTAAAAATTTTTCCATATATAATCTTTATTATATAAATGTATCAAAAATATAAATTCATCTCCCCTTGTACGTCTCCTGAATAGTTTTGTACAATTTTTATAGGCGTGGCATTCGATTTTACCCTATTTT